CATTTTTTTCTAGATCTGTTTTCTCACTTTGCTAGAGAGATGTGCAATTTTTTTTTTTTAACCTCTGATCTAACTTCCACCAAAAGGAAATCTCTATCCGATGTTTTCAAAGCAGTACAACTTTGATCTTGGATATTTCTTTTAAAGTCCTGACCTTGATTATGAAACCTTTAAAAGCCCATTGATTTCTTTCAAATGCATCTGGACTCCAGTAGAGCCAGACCGCCAAGCTTAACACTGGCACAAAAAAAAAAACAATTATTAGGACTAGTGACATGTTTGCTTCCAGAAGGAAAAGGCTTTATTTTTTTAGGGACAGCGCATCAGTGGATCAGATGTTTTTGGAAGGATGAGATGTAGGCTTCAGCTATATGTCCAAAATGATTTTTAATTTCTGGCAGTGATAAAAAGCCATGTGTGAATCTTGCAGTGGAGCTGTGTATTTCTGCGTTATTAGGTGTTGAGTGTTGTGAAAAGCACACTTTGGACCCACTGCCACAGCAAGTGACACAACACCTAGGAGGCAGGATGCCAATGCCTTCTAATTCAGTCTTTAATCGACTGTCTATTTTGAGTCTTTGTATTTACAGTCAGCAGTGGCACGCTCAAGAGTAGAAAGATGACACTGTGGGATTCTATCAGTCTACTTTTCAGACGTTTCTTGTACAAATTAAAGAATAAAGCAATTATATTGAAATTTGGACATTTAGTACTGTAGGGGAAGCTTGTAACCCTTTTTTTCTTCTTTTGTATAATCAACGTTGTGGTTCAGAAGACTACACTTGATAATATCAGTGCTATGCAGGGCTAAAATGGAATCTCAGTAGAAAGATATATTGAAAATTATACACCTGCTTGCACACTGATGTCAGAAGAAAACAACACACAAAAATAGTTTTATGTCTAGGAAAAGATATAAGCGTGAAATTAGGAGTTTGGAGTTTGCTCTACCGTGGAGAGAACTTCTCAAAGCAGCCTGAGACATAGCGTGCACTATTTGGAACTGTCCATGGTTCTAGTTTTTTTGATAAATAGACTTGGGTCTGGAATATGAAGGACTCTTTTTGGTCCAGGCTTGTTGATATGTGACCTTTTTCTTCTTGGATACTTTTTTAAAATGGTTATTCTCAGAAATTTTAAAACAAACCAAACAGAAAACTGGTTTTCTTGTTTGTTGTTATGTACAGCATATTTTTTTGTTTTTTTTTTTTTTTTTTTTTGGTGTTAAATGTGCTATATAAATAAATAGTGAGTGTTGCCCTAGTGGTTAGAACAGTGCGCTTGTGCTCTGAGAAGTTTGCAAGTTCCTGGTTTGATCCCCACAGCCTTCACTCTGGGTTCCTGAGCAAGACCCTTAACCCCACGCTGCTCCCTTGGCGCCACACAATGGCAGCCCAGTGCTCCCCATGGGATGGGTCAGAATGCAGGGAGTGAATTAACTCATTGTGGGACAGTAAAGGAATTGACATTTGTTTATATACATTACTTAAAGAGAATTTGGATTAGATTGTAGAGATAGGCAGAACGGGAGCTGTCCATGGTGCTGATGGACCAAAAGCCAGCCTTTGAATTGACCATGGCTCTGGAAACTAAGAACTGGAACTGTCTTTGGAAGAGATTCTGCATTCTATGGGAGTCCAGATTAAGCAAAGGAAACTCCCTACAGTAGGTTGCAACTTAGTTCTGGAACATTACACATCATGAATCATGGTGGAGCCCCATTGCATCATTAGGAACTGTCCATGGTACTGGTGTTACACTGAATAATATTGCTGTCTTTGGTACTTATTCTTTGACCTGTTAGAAACCAAATAAACACATGGCAAGGGTAATTGTTTCAGGCAATATTTTATTGTTGATTTTTGATTTGATGCTGTCTACAGAACCAAGTTTATTTAATACACTCCAGAGCAGTGTCAGGAACTGTCTTTGATTCTTCTTATGATCTTGTATTTTGGTTACTATGGTAAGGGGCTTTCTTTTGTAATGTCTTTTTGAGATAGAGGGGTACATTAAGCAGTTGAAACCAACAGTGGTTCTGGGTTTTCGATATGGTAATCTTAGTCAAAAGGTGTCCATAGCAGAGTGTCTGTGCTATGGTAAACACCATCCCGAGCACTCACACCTGTTGAGGTCTGACCTTTTTTTATGATGGCTAAGTGCTGGAGCTTTCTCTGGTACTTAGTTTCTCCAGTACTGACTCAATGCAATATTATCTTTGGTTGTGGAATTTTTGTAATCGTGATGCAGGTTTGAAACTTTCAAATGCACTGGCCTTATGCTGTGCTTCCTATTTGGTGAACCATTTGCTTATTTTTGTAGTATGTTCAATTTAGCTGAATGTTACAGTATACATGTTTTCTAATCTCTTAATAATAAAAGCAAAGCAAAAGAAAACAGAATTGTGATAGAACTGGTGTATTTTGAACCTTAAAGCAAAGATATATAAGCATGTATGTAAAAATCATTAATAGCCTATAAAATCTTTAGCCATCTGTACCAGTTTATATAATAGGCTATCTTGTATGGAGGTGTGTCTGCTCAGCTATTTTGTACCAAGAAATTTGACCAAATATCTTTAAAGAGTTGAATAGTAAAACTATAGCCCAACATTTTATAGTGGGACCATACCCAAAGAAATGGGTTAACATCCCTACAGTCAACATAGATTTGATTTGAAGTCATAATGGAGGCCAATCCAAACAGTCTTCCCCATGGGGCTCCTCCTGCCAGAAGCAAAGACCTCTTGTGTTTGCAGGCCAGCAATAGTGCTTCAATACAGAAAGACTAATGTCCCAGTGATCAACATCCTTGTGTAAGTGTGCATTCAAGTGGTTTTTATTTGCTCTGATTACTAAAAATAACACAAACAACAGTTAGAAAATACTGAGGTCAACGAAGAAGTATTTAGAAATGTTAAAAGAAGAGTCCTAGAGCATCTGTTTTACCCCTTTTATTCGGGCAATCGTTGACACTAGGAGCAGCTTTGTTATTTCAAGCCTTTAATTCTTTGAGTTTTGGTGATTTTTACTTATAGATAGCAAAAAAAAAAAAAAAAAAAAACTGATCAGCAACCACCCTTTTTTGTTGCCTATCTAAAAGGGTCAAAATGTAAGATGTAGGGCATGCCCTTGACGGGTTGCCAGTCCATCGCAATACAAAGCCACATAGAACAAACAACCATGCACTTAACCACTACCCCCTAACACCAGTTTAAAGAGACCAGCTAGGAGTCATGTTTTTGGTCTGTGAGAAAATGCCAGAGTATTAGGGGGAATATAAAAATTATGAATGGTCAACATTTGGAGAGTAAGTCTTCAGCATCATTACCCTCATATTCACTAAATATGAGCAAATTCCGCAAAGATTTCAAAATCTGTGAAGCTGGTTTTGGTTCATGAACTCTGATTTAATTTGATATTTGAAAGGATTTCAACACTTTTTTGCTTGCTGCTAAACGGTGGGCGAAAATCTTGTAAAACCCAATTTTAAATTCAGTATTCAATGTCTATTTTCACCAGTCTGTAGTTCCTGTAAGGAGACCAACAAGTAAGAATTAGGGAAAAACACCCTTTGATTTCCATATTAAAGCCCCTCACCTTAGACTACTGATGCTGCTCCTCTCCATCCTAGGATTGTTATTGTTATTGAGTATAATGAATCCCACCAAAAATTGCTAATTTCTAGCATCAAGTTGAATAACTCCAAATTCAACTGCAGACTTTTGTAACTGGGTTATATAAAAACAAGACCATGTAGAATACTTTGTTCTTGTGGAACATTTGCTACCGCTCTTATGGATTACCATCCTGGGCATCCAACTATTGACGTGCATGCCAAATATTGACGCTTTGGTCACGTCCCCTGTACATCAGCTACTGATACAGGGATCCCTCTCATTATCTACTGACGTGCAGGTTGTATGAAAGGTTGTGGCAGAAACCTATAGATCCACTCTCAATGAATGTGTTCCAGCATTAATAGGGTATAAAGTTTTGTGTCCAAAACTTAAAAAGAGAAGAAATCTGTTACCATTGGGAAATTTTAGTCATGTTGGAAATTTCTTTTTCTGTCTGGCTTAATTTACTCCTCAAACAAATTTAGGTAAAAACAAAATTATGTTGCATGTTACATTTCTACTGTATGTAAATATTTATCTTCTCGCACTCAAAGTGTAATAAAGGTTGATTCCAAGGTAGCATGACAGCAATTATGTACCTAAATAATAAAAAAAAGGGGTGGGTAAATTGAGATAAAGTTGTGTAATCTAATTTTGAAGTTGGGAGATAAAAAGTACATAAATAAAAAGCTCTCTAATAGAACGCTCAGGCATTAACAGAACATCTGGGTTTACAATAAGAGTAAAAAAAATGACTAATGGTTTATTAGGAGACTTTGTGAGCTTGTTTTCAGTGGATTTTTTTCTTTTTGGGGGGGGGGGGGGGATAAATCTTTTTTCTCATCAAATAATCAAAAAGGAAAATGCAGAAAAAAAAAATATTTCGTATGAGAGTTCAAAGGATGCTGTAGCGCACTGCTGTCCTTCCACGCCTATTCTGACCCTGTGAGTTGATTGGACTGATTGATCCATTTGGTGCAGAAAAAGATTAAGTAAGGGCGACTGATCAGCTTGGATAAAATAATGGGTCTAAAAATGGCACTAAATATCAGTTCATGTTGAAGTAATCCCTCTGGTTTGTGCGATTGAACTTTCTATTTCGTTTCTAAAAGGATGCGAGTCGATATTGGCGACATCCAATCACATTTTTTATTTTTATTTTTTAATAAAAACTCCCATGACGTTACGCAGATGTAATGGTCTGCATAAATGATGGCTTAGATCGATATAAATAGCTCTTTAAATCGAATTTTACTGGAAACAGTATTGAAAATCAACACATATCTGAGCCCCATTCCATATAACCGTATTTTACGCATGCAGCTCCTATTGGGTATCAGCGTAACAGCTCCAGTAATGATATCTGCTGCTTTCTTGCTGACGTAATATTGACTGATCCGAATGTTTACTTTGGACACGATCACTTAGAGTCGCACATTGCGCTCTTTTCCTCTCCCACAGTCTCCCCTGCCAGTCCTTTCTGGTTTCCTCCAGCGTCCGCGCAAAGATCTTTATCCATTCCAGGCTAAGAAGATCAGCTTAAAGGAGTTCTGTTTTTACGGAAAACCCTCTTGGTGTTTTATTCCGTTCAGTTTCAATGTTTTCCTTAACCCGGTGTTTGAGCTGAGGTGGTGGAGAGCAGCGGAAAGATACCACAGGTGAATGGAGCCGTAACGACGCTGCGGTAGAGATGACTGAACAGTTTAAGGGTTGCATGAGCGCAGTCTCTACCTGATTTGACAGAAATCGACTTAGTGTGGTACTTTGTGAGAACTGAAGTGGATCCAATTAGCTTTTTTAACGCAAAAAAAAAAAAAAAATCCCTTTGGTTTTTTTTTTTTAAAGGGATGATATGACCCTTTCTTTTGCGCAGTGGTGGCTGCTTTCCTGTCAGTTTGTTGGATATTTGCCTTTTTGCAGGATTACACACGGAGATATGAGCGCAGAAAGAAGTCGAGTTGGATTGTAAAAAGAAAAAATAATCCATCTTTAAAAAAGATAAGAAAAAAAAAAATCATTTTTTTTTTTTTTAGTCTCCAAAAAGGAGAGTGTTTGGTGGTAATCAATGGCTTCGGTGTCGAGGTCAGCAAGGCGCAAAGATGCCACTCGCTGGCCGAGAATGTCGTCAACTTTTTGGGCTGTGGTGCTGCTGACGGCTCTATTGGTTCTTTACTGCGGTAAGTTCCCCCGCCGCTCTTTCTTTATTATTTAATTGACAACTGCGCAGTGAGTGACTGAGTCATGTGGGGAGGTTTTCTCATCACAATCACCTTAGTGACTCTAAAACTCTCTGAGCGGTGACTAATTTTAATAACCTGTGTCATATATGGTTCATACTCCAGCCAGACTGGGTTAGTAATGGGGACTTGAGGATCAGAGAGTCACTTTATGACTTGCTGCATTATTTACCACCTTGCAGCACATTTAATGGCAAATGGAAAAAAATCAGTAGAAAGAAATTATTTTTTGAGTAAACGCCTGACCAAGTATTTTTGGGGTTTAGAAATGCGCACAAACAAAACGTGCGCAGTGGCGGTCCCTTCTAAGAATGGCCCCCTTAGCGCGCCCCTTCTTGTAATTACCATGGAATAAAAAAAAATAAAAAAAACATGAATAAAAATGAAGTTATAAAAACAATAACTATAATAAATATTGCCCTGATCATCAATGGCATGGATGAATGGATGAATGGAACCTTTATTTCGCAGAAAACTCCACTGTCTGGTCCTGAAAATTAAACTAGATGGTGTCAGCATCATGCTTTGGGGAGTACCTTTTTATATTTTGGAAAATATAAATAAAAAAAATGTGAATAGCAGAATTATTATGTTTAAATGTTTTCAGTCTATATAGAGCGGTTTTTAAACCTTATGATGAGGTGGAGGTGAGTGAAAGTTCAGTTGGTGTGCAAGAGGTAAACTTGGCCAGAAGTTACTTGAAGAGAATCTTGATAGAGCATTTCCTTTGGAGGAGGTGGGGACCCGCTGTTGATTGGCTGAAGCTCCAGGTGAGGCTGATAAGAATCTTCCAGACTGAATTTTTACTTAAGCTTCATATTAAAAAAAACCTTTGTTTGAAACTCAAAGATTATAGATTATGTCGAATGGATTAAATTAAAGTAACATTTTTAGAAATGTTTTACATTTTCAAAACACATGTGTATTCAAATTCAGAATGTCCCAATGAGTGCCTTTAGTGCCATAATCGGATACACGAACCAGTTAAACAGCAAAAGTGGGGCCTACTTTTAAGGTTCCTGATGGGTGAAAAAAATAAACAGAGATGTTATCAAAGTAAGTTGCTCAGTGCTCACAGAAAGCTTCCCTAAAAAAACAAGTAGTAAAACTGGTAAAAACAGTGATGGTGTGTATGCACACTCATTGCACAAGACTCCATTGGTGAATAGAAGGCATCCCAAACCTTTTAAGGTTTGCTGTAGAATATACTGCATGTGCAGTGATAGTCTGCTCAGATCAACCCCAAAACAGAACTCTTTGGAGATTATTGCACACACTTTGTTTTAAGGGAAGATCTTTCTGCAAATTAACATCAAAAGGAAAGTAAGCCGATGAGGACAGCATGGTGGAGGCTGTCTTAGAGTATATAGTGCACTGAAAAAACTGACTTTTTGGTGCAGTAAACTACCACCCTTATCTTTTTTTTCTAGGTACAAATTCTAATGCGGTACAACATAATGCACTTTTACTATTAATGCTATATTTGTACATGCTTTTTATAATTTAGATAGAGGCATACATAACCTTTACACCACTGCTCAAAGTGGCTGTTTCTGTTCCGACTCTCGCCCAGAAGTTGTTTTTGAGCATGATTTTGTTAGTTAAATATTCTTGATCTTACATATAAGTATATTTCTGTAACAAATGTCGAAACTCTCAGTTTCAGAGAGTTGTAAAATTTTTATTGCATTTTTGAAAAGTACCTTTCCAGTTACAGGGCTGCTCAGTGGCGCAGTAGGTAGCACTGCTGCCTTGCAGCAAGAAGGTTTCGGCCTGGGTTCTTTTTGTATGGAGTTTGAGCTTCCTCCCACAGACCAAAAACAGGACTGTTAGGTTAATTGGAATCTTTAAATTCTCCTTAGGTCTGAGTTTGTGTGTGAATGGTTGTTTGTCTTGTTTGCCCTCTGTGTTGCCCTGCGATGGACTGGTGACCTGTCCAGGTAGTACCCTGCCTCTCACCTGAAAACAGCTGGAGATAGGCACCAGCATCCCTCGTGAACCCAACTGGGATTAGGCGTGACAGAAAATGGATGGATGGATTCCAAGTAGACTTTCACATTTCTGACTTGCCCATGAAATATTGGGCAGTTTCATTCAATAGGGTATTTACTTCTTTGTTATACTGTTTAAAATGAAAAATTGACAATTTAATGTATATTAAATATATATAGTTTTCAATATATTTGGTAATTTTATTTATTTGGTAACATTTATCAAATGAAATCTGGCAATGATTACCTAATATTAGTGAGTAATGTATCATAATGCAAAAAAGTAAATCAATATGTCATGCAAAGGAAATAATTAATATCTACTTATTTACTTCATAACAGCAAATACTAGGGATAAAGATTTACTTAAAATGTTTAGCAAAATACTGTTTGTGGCTATGAAAAACAAGTACACTTTACTAATTAACTAATAACTAACTAATAACTAACTAACTTACAACTTAGATGTAATTAGGTAAATGTTACTTAATATCTTCACAACTGTTATGTCTTATGGAAAGTAAAATTCACTTGATATTGGCAAGTGAGTGTTACTTGATATTGCAGCATTAAATTTTACTTAAATAATATGCGTGCAAATACTTGCAATATATTTATGGAGTAAATCTTATGAGTTTTTTTTTCAGTGTTCTTGCCAGATTCTTAACAGATTATTGGTAGGAAACATGTATTGTCTAAAACATAGGATGAAACTTTAATTTATTTGTGGAGGTAGAAAATGAAATTTCTTAAAGTATCTGGATGTTACCTGACTCATATTCCAACTGAAAAACCTTTCAGACGAACCAAATTTGTTTTCAGGCTCTAAAGACAGGCAACTTCCGAGGTAATACAGATTTATCTTCTTCTTAATACAGAAGATGTCTTAAAGCCATTTTTATTAAATACATTTGTATTGTTTATTTTGTTTGTTACCAAGTTAAAATTATAAATAAATGTACTTTATGGTTATAATACATTGTTTGTATAACAGTATTATTTGGGAAGATTAATAGTATCGCACAGTAATTTGTGCAGTGTTAAGGCAACACTTTAAGAGTTAAATTTAACACCAATCAGAGTGCATTTGGTCCCACTCTGAATTAGTGTTAAATTAACTCTTTACATAGTGTATAACTTAATCAAGTTGAGGTTTTAATAACTCTAAAAGAGTGAATGTACTTTGACAATACATATTTAACATCATAGAAATTACGTTTGATATTTCTTATTAGAAGCTCCTCCATTTTAAAGTTATAGTGGAGGATGTTCTTTTTCACGGTGGATCATCAAAACAATTGTCAATCATTCTGGTGATATGTTTACGTAAAGTAGTTCTACGTGCTCCTCCCCATTTTCACTTACCTGTGGTGAGTCTGAAATTGTGGAAAAATTGCAAATCTTCTTTTGATTGCTTGTATGAGTGATGCAAACAGCAATGTTTAAACAGTGCATGCACAAGGAGAAATGTGCTCATGCACGCTCTTGCACGCGTTTAATAGAGGTTCCCTCTCAGTAGCGGGTACAGGTTTTTAAAAGTGGAGAGGGCGGGTCTTTTTAAAAATTCACGAAAATCCACACTATACCTTTAGCACTGTGGGATTTACTGTGTACTAACCCCCCCCCCCCCCCCCCCAATTTTCATGAAACAACTAGAAACTTTAATTGGTTTTTACTCATTGATCTATTATCAATTAAGTAAAATAATATTTAACAGAGAGGGTGCAAAGGATGAGCAGCTCTGTGATCCATTTTCATATAAATCCCAAAGCAATCTCTTATAACATTTTTATGTGTGAATTATTGCAACAGAAGCTAGGAATTATCCTAAGGGTGTTTAATTCTCCTTAATGATGTTAAACTGTTAATGTAACAAAATGTAAATACTATGTTTTGAGTGAAGCCTTTAATAGATCTAAAAAATTGCTGTTAAATGAACGTGGTCACAAATGTTGCAGTTTTCTCATTTATTTTGGTGATGAAGGATTTTTACCTAATCCTTGACTCCGGCAGTGCTCCTGTTTCCATCCATCAGTGTGATATAAAGGTAATTATAACAGCAACTCTTAACACAAGTTTTTTTTTCATTTTGAGCTTTCAGATGTCTAAAAACCTTTATTTTATTTTGTCCTTGAGTTATCACTTTGCTCAGCCTCTTTAGCTCACTCGTCATCCTCGCTCTACTTCCAGGGTTTTATGGACACATACTGCACTTTGGTCCTAGACAAAAAAGACACTAACCTTCACCAGCAAAGCTGAAATATGTCAAGAATAGTGCCTCTGTATTTTTATTGCAGAAATAAAACTACTTTTAAAATATTAAAAATATTTGCTAAGATATAGCCAATGATGCAAGATGTCCATTAAAACAATGAACTATTTCAATATATTCTGAGCAGAAATTCAACATTACAGTGTTTTATTTAACTTGTTAGTCCTTAAAAGTTAATACATTTTGATGTAAAGGTTCATCAATGTCAACTTTTTAGCTAAATTTTCAAGCCGACCTTTTGCCCAATAGGGGACTTTGTATAGAGTAACAAACAAAAGTCTAATTAAAAACTAATGTACAGATATAAATTCGCAGAGGCAAAGAAAATAGAAAAATGCAAGTTTTTGGATTCATCATTGTTGAAAAGGTTTTGTAAAAAATGCAAATAAGTGAATGTTTTCTAATACTAAAAAAGTTAGATAAATCTTAAACTCAGTGTATGGTTGGTATAGGTGGACTAAATCACTTCCCAGTTCCTGGATTTGTAGATAAGTGACCTAATATTTTTTGTCACATTGTTGGCCTATAGTGTCACTGATCATGAATGAATCAATCCATGAAAAAAAAAAAAAAAAAGATGATATTAACAGAAGGTTCTACATCTGAAAAAAAGCATGGTTTTCATGAGTCTCTGCAGCTGAACAGACTGTAGACTGGTAATATATTTCAACCCTGTA